AGAGATGATCCATGAGCAAGCAGTTATTAAAGGATGGATTTGTTACTTTTCTTTTGCGGGTTGCTACTTGGCGAGTCCTCCCTCTGCTTCCCTCCGTGTCCTCAGACCTAGTCATCAGTCTCCCTCTCCTCTCCTCCTTGATTCCGTCTGTTCCCCTTTCATCTTTTATTTTTAACCCTAAGGCATGCCTCATGCGTGACGCAGATGGGTACGTAAACTAAAGAGGGAAAGGCCTGGGCTGCAGACACACAGAGAGAGAGACGGTGACTGACATGAAGGAGGAAAACAGGCAGACACAGGGGGGCCTTATTAGGGAGAATGGAGAGAGACTAAGTGGAGATAGAGATGGAGAGAGAGGCAGACATGTAATCACCCCTGATTTTACACACACCTCCTACACTAAACAGGTAGCTTCCTCAAAACCTGTCACATGTCGCTGAAAGACATTTTGAATCCCCGTGTTGTAACGTACAGCGTGTCTAGAAACGCGAGGAACAACCCGGGCATTTGTACTTCCCTCTCCTCTTTCTCCTTCTTTACCACATCCAACTTCATGAAAGCTCAACACACCCACAGATTTGTCTGAGGAGAAAGAAGAGGAGTTACATATCAATCTTACATCACTCAACCGTCAGCCTGAGACTTTTCATAGATGCACTAAATGAGCATCAACACTGCATGACGCACACCAACTGTCAGATTGAAGGGTTGATGTGCTGTGTGTGTGTGCGTGTGCTTTTGAGAGAGAGAGAGAGAGAGAGAGAGAGAGAGAGAGAGAGAGAGAGAGAGAGAGAGAGAGAGAGAGAGAGATAGAAGGAGCGCAAATAAATTACAATTTAATTTTGGCATAGTTAATTTGTATTGCTGCAGAACAGAAAGTAGCTGCACAAAATCATACAGAATGGAGGAAAGAAAGAAAGTGATTCCTTCAAATGGTCCGACACCACCTTTTCAATCCAATTTACAATTATGACTTCAAATTACTCATAATTGGACAATGAGACTAAAATTGTCGGTCCACTCCTACTCAACAAACGCGTGCAAGCTGTTTCCAAACTTATACCTCGCAATGCCGGCAGATAACAATGAGAGCATCCAAATTACTGTAATGATTAATAAGATCTCACGTAGGACTGAATTATTCAAATATCACAGTAAAATTAGTATTGATGACACATTCAATTGCTGGCGAAAATCCGTGACTTTGATGACAATAAACAATTCAGAGAATCATCTGTTGGGAGATCTTTTTTTATCTGCCCGTTTGGCTCGCTGAGCGCAGTTACATTTTATTTGGTAGAAAGAAGGACAATGACATCAGCCTCAAGTAAGGAGAACAAAATGTGGCTTAAGAGCTAAATTATGACAATAGTAAAGAAACAAATTTAAAACATATTTAATAATAAATAACAATAACACATGCTACATTATAATTATTAAAAAATAATCGAAACGTTAAACTGATATTTATGAATAAATATAGAATCAAACTGTAAATACATTATTTAAATGACCAATGAATCAACATAAAAACCCAAGTATCACTCATGCAAATATGAAATAAACTCCATACATTATATTCAATATAAGTCATCATTATACCGCTCAAATGGCTATACACCATTTTAATCATTTTTAGTGCTCACGTACATACTGACTAAATCAAGCTTGATTATCAGATCGTTTTCACTCCGTCAATGAGGAAATGTTGTTGGGATTTTTTTTGTTCAAAATGCAATTTATTTATTTTCATCTAAAAGTTTTTTTTTCAGTTTTCTCTTTCATACAACAAGTTTGGTCCTCCACAAAGCAGCTCTCGCGTGGGTCAGATGGGGCATCTCATTTCATTCCACTTTGAAGCCTCACAGAGAGCATTGCCCCCTACATGTTTCCCATCAGATCCACACCAACAGGCTTCCACTGTGAATGAACTGTCGTACATTCTGTCTCCGTGGAAATTGAAAGTCAAAGTTACATAAAATCAGTTCCATTACAAGAACAATCTTAACCTTCTTCAAAGAGATTTCCTAGGAAACATGAGTTGAGTTGTTGAGTTGAGTTGAAAGGGCTAGAACACACTTGTGGGCCATCTATTTATTTCAGCAGGGGTGGGTGACCAGTCGGGTGGGAAGTGGATCAGGCAGCCTAATGGAGTGAGAAGAGTAGCCTGGGATTTGGAGTGAGACGGTGGAGAGGATTTTGTGTGAGTGTGGATGGGGGGGGTGTTCATCCTCCTCCCTCTCTCTTTCCATTACTTACAGAAGAGGAGTCATTACGTTCTTATAAGCTATCCCATAATGCCCTGCTGCAGAGACGGTCCCAATTCCCAGAATGACATCAGAGGCAGTGCTTGCAACACGGCTGGTGTGTATTTGCGTGTGCCAGCTTGCGTGCGTTTCTACTCCCATATGAACGCCAATATGTGTGTGTGTGTTAACTAGTGAGCATGCGCATGTTTGTTCCGTCTGACGTCAATACTCCTCCAATTCATTTTTATCTGGAAGGCTCGGAGCACCTTGTAGGAGTCTCATCTCAATGTATTTATAGACCGATCCAAGCTGCGCGCCAGTGGGACAGGTGAAATGTGCCTTTTTCCGCACTTGTTTGGGAGGAGGAACAGGGCTCAGGTGAACATTTTAGAAATGTCTGTGGGACTGTATGGAAATAATTCTACTTCAACAGCTTCAGAGGCACAGATGTATTTCAGAGAGGAGGTCGGGGGGGACAAATGATCAGCAAAGTGCTGAAATGGTGCATCACCATCAACCCTTTGCACCATTTACAGAAGCAACTATGGCACAAGTAGCTTGAATTTTTTGCCCGTATGACGTGAGATGTGGGATATTTCCTATGCAAATATAAAGGAAATGAGGATCAATGAAAAAGCCGTGAGTAATTTCAAAGTGTCAAAATGATATTGCTTCTCGGCTGGAAGAAGTTCTCCTACTATTGGCTCAGTTATTTCTGTTGCTTTCTCCTCCTACATGTTAGTGTGGCTACGACTGAATGCTACAACCTCCTCCTCTGCATCTGGGAGGTCTCTTACAACTGTGCAATTTTCATTCATGTAATGAGTGAGAGCTCTCCTGGTCAAATAGCCCAGGCCTGTCAGCCAATCAGCTGAGGGGAAAGAGGGATCTATGCAATGATACTGAAATGATGACACTCGGTAGATGATTCTAAATATATATTGCAGTTTGTTATGGCCAATTTTGTAAAGGATTTTGTAACCTCAAGACTAAATTGCTATTGGGAGAAGAAGCCAGTTGGAATGAATTAGAACTGTATCAAATTCAAAAGGCTTCATTATTATTCAAACATTGACCCAGAACCAGAGAGCGAATCATTTAAAAATGCAAAAAGTATCAATTATTAACAGCTTCAAGCTGCCAGCACAGGCTCTAGCAATATACTTTTGTTGTATTTCTGCAATGCTCATCACAAACTCAAAACTTTGGCTTTGGCTTCTTTGCTCATATTTGTTGATAAATTCACAGAAACCTTTCATGTTTGTCCAATCTTTCAAAGTGCCACAACAATGACAACTGGCTACTGCTGCCGCTAAGCCAGTGGTTCCGAAAACTGAGGGGCGGGACCCCCTGGTGGGGCCGACCAACCTGAACACAACGGTAAATTAAAATAAAGTAAAACCAAAAAAAAAAACAAAGCAACATGAGCTGTGACACAGCGACATGCACTGTGTCACAACCACGACCCCCAGGTCGGCTCAGGCTACAGGCAAAGAGGCAGAGAGAGGAGGAGAGAGAGAGAACGACCCATTTATTTTTAATTGGGGGTGGGATTGCGATGTTCCTACGTCTTCAAAGGGGGCCCTGAGAGAGAACGTTTGGGAAGCACTGCGTCAAAGCGCCTTTGGCCACGTCCACCAAACACAGAATCATCCGTTTTTTACTTGACAGGACATCAGACTTTTGGACATCAGCTCTTGGATGTTGGGAAACGGTGTACAGGACCTTCTTTATTGGAGTATTACATGTTTTGCTCTACTTGAATAGAAAGTTGATGAAAACCCAATGAAAGGACATATTGAACTACATTATTGAACTGTCGGCGTCATCACTGAGCCAACAATGATTAAGTGATACTCTAATGTAGTTTACTGAAACATGCCTCGCCATATTCGGTTTACTTGAAGCACTTTCAGCAATTTAAAAGCCCTGTTCGATAAAAGGATAGTCATCACAGACGGCACATTGGTAATCGACCAAATGACAAAGCCTAAATGAGTCATGCCATTAATATTGTACTTTTCTATTTCTGAATATTTGATCAACCTTTTTGACTTTTTATTGTTTCATCCAAAAAGAAAGTGTTACTGGTAAAACGTGGTGACGGACATTTAGCTGCTGACGTTTGCAGACCGTAACCCGCATTAATATTCTCTGTGGTGAGAAAGATAAATAATGCATGAAATTATGCATGCATAGAACGCTTCATAGCATAATGTACTGTTTTAGGAACGGCGATGGGGATGAGAGGGTTCGTCTTTCACACATTAACAACGTTGGCCCAAATTGTTCCATTAGCAGAGGTCAAATCTGTGTCCCTGCAGTAAGCACTGTGTTGAGTGGTCATGCCGTGTGATGACTGAGGGAAATCTTTGATTACCTCAAGATGTGCTCCCAAATTCAGTGTGCTGGTGGTTTCCTTAAGTTATTGGAGTTTGTTTGTTTTTTAAAAGAAGAAGAAGAAGAAAAAGGTTTTGGGGCATTGCTCTCTTTAACATCTCTCTGTTTTTACTGCATATTTATGAAACCTGTTTTGAACTTCTTCTTTTTTTTAAATTGTATTCATTATGTCTCTTGTGTGCACTTTATCTAAGCTGCTGAATTTCCCGACTGCAGGACTCACAGAGGAGCATCTTCTGTACTCCCCAACACCTGTAGAGGGACCATCCCATTAGACAAATTAGCCGAAAGTACCATGTGATTTTCGGACATGGATGTCACCGACACATCCGGTAAATGAGACGTTTCAAGTGGAGTAGGATGTGAAATGCTTTATTGGGGTTTAGGCTTGATGGCAGCAGGATCTCGGCACAGAATACTTGCCAATACTTTTCTTGTTGGAGAATTTGTTGGTCAAAGATTCCCTCACCACACAAACGCACACAAATCTCCCCCTCCGGTTGATGCTCTAATCGGCTGGCTGAGGGCTGACGTTGGTGGGAAAGAGAATTGTGTGTGAGGGGAGGAGAAAGAGGAAAGTAGGGAGAGCGGAGCTCACAGAGAGCGAGCGCAAACATGGAGAGAGCGTTTATTAATAGGTCTAGTCCCAGCGGCCCGTGTAATTATCTCCTCCTTCTCTTTGAGTAACTTTTTAACTGCTCACTAGATCACCATGTTGCAAAAACAAAAAATAACAACAAATAATTTCCTCTATCCTGCATTCAAACAGCCATGGGATTTGGGGGATGAAGGAGGAAGCATTACAGCCTCTCCCTCCTCCTCTCTTTCTTTGCCCTCCCTCCGTCTCTGTGGCCGACCTCGGCCTCGGCCTCCGTCTCTCCGCTCCCTCTCTTTCTCGCCCCCGCCGGATTTCACTTGGAGGACATGGTGTAGCAGCCATGTGGGTGCCACTGCATGTCACGAATGCGCCTGATGGACTGCATCTGGGGGCAGCGGGCGCCAAACTCGTTGAAATGCCTGTATTCGCCCTTCTCGAGCAGGTACTGGCTGCCACGGTAGCCGGGAAACTGGTAGCCCACCCAGCTGAGGAGAGAAGGAGGCAAAGGAGGAGGGAAGAAAGACAATTTACATCACCAAAGTAGCAGGGAAGGATTTTAAAGTTCTATGAGAAATCTGAAAGGAAAGAAAATTGATTCAAGGGGAGAAAACAAACGTTTAGGGCGAGAGAAAGATGCGGAGGGAGGATAAACAAGCAAGTAAAGACATCGATCTCTTTGTCATGCTGTCAGATGTCCAATCGCAGATGTTTCAGAGGGCTGAGAGCGCAACAAATGAAGTAATCACAGAAACGGTGCCTGCTGTCACACCTCCGAGAGCGCAGACGGGGCTGAGACGTTGGTGACACAAAAAGTCTATTTCTGACCTCCATCTCTCGTAAATAGATTGCAGTTTGAGAGACACGATGCCGTGACACATGCAGCGGCACATCCCGCTAGACTTTCTTATGTAGCCCTTTGCGAAAGCCGCGTTCTGCAGAACAGGTAGCCTGCTCGCAGTGTATTTAATCTCAACTAAGAGGTCTGAGCAATGAAGCTAGAAAACGTATTTTGAAAAAACGTCAACTTTTTGTCCAAGAAAATGTTTGTCCCGTGCTTCCACATTACTCACGTTCCACAGCTGACCATGATGCTTCCCACTCTGTCGGTAAAACCATAGGAAAACAAGCTGGGGACGTCATCGTCCATAATCTCCATTTTACGGCCCTTGAACTCTCCAACCTCATGCAGGCAGATCTTGTGCTTCTCCGGGTCCTGGAGGAATATTTGTGGAAAGAAAAAGATGGGGGATGTGCTGAGGGGAGAAAGACAATGTGGTAGAAGTTTACAAAGTCACACCACTTGTTTTCTCAAACGAAAACGGTTTTTTTTACCATGCGGACTGGCCTGAAGGACAGCAGGTAGTCGTTCTTCTGACAGTTGCTCCAGGAGTCCCAGCGGGGATACTCGCCCTTCTCCAGGATGAACATCTCTCCGCAGAAGTTCATCTGTTCGAAGCCCACGAAGCTGAGGATGGGAGGGAAGGAAGACCATGAACCAGGTCTGATGCCCTATGGTGGTATTGACTTTTAAAGGTCCACTGAATTTACACAAGGATATTTCTACTCATAATGAAGAGTACTACTAAACTGGAAGCTTTCTCCTACTTAATTGTTGTTTTTGTGGCTATTGGTCCACATTGAAACACAACAGTTTTTTCGTTATTCGTGCTTCATGCTGCATTGTCACTGCTGCAAACCATTAAGGATAAAAGCCTCGGGTTCATCCCTAAAAATGTGAAGTATGAAATGTCATATAATGGTTGGGAGCAATTTTCAAATTGCCTGCTCCGTGCTCAGAGGAGTGTGGGGGTTGGCTGCAGCATCACTACATTCAGGTGGGCGTGTGCTTGCAAGCTGCACGTGCACAGGCTACTTACGGTCCGCAGGAAACGCGCAGAGAGCGCACCCTGTCCATTCCCATGTCACACACGTTCATACACTCGCCGTTGATCTCGATGCAGCGGCCCTGGAAGTTCTCCTGGTCATACACACACATCTGGACGGTTGGTAGTAAAGTAAAGAGTGTGAGAGTGAAAAAGGGGGTTTCAGAATTAAAACATTTAAGGAGAGTAGAAACTGCATCGGGAGACTGCGGTGAACTAAATAACGGTGAGGTAAACTGGAGCGTTGACAGCTTTCTCCACAGGCCTAACATGGTCATTTCTTCTGTCCGGTTCAGTAGTCGGCCGCCCCCTCACTGAGCTGTAGGAACTAGCTGATCGTGATAAAAGACATGCGCCTGAAGGTAAACTGTCAGTGTGAGGCCACCCGCTTCACACTGAGGGAAAAAGACTGTATGGGAAATCTGCAGACGTTTGATCATCTGCTCTATACGTGTGTGTGTTAGTACCTTGTGAGCCATCATGCCCGGATCAGACATCTTGTTGTGAGCTGCCTTCCCATCAGTCTGGGAAGCAGACTTGGATTTCTCTCCTCCAGCAGACATATTGACTGTGAAAATAAGATGCTTTAAATCATTCTCAAACAGCTGTGACATGAAGGGACTGCATGAAAACGATAAGTATGTGGAGGAAGTCAAACGTTAGTTTTCTTTTTAATTTTGATTGATGCTTTCTCCTTTACTAGGAGACTAATTATAACACCTTACCTCTTTCCTGAACCTGACACCTAATCAGTTTAACAAAACCAAACACAGCTGAATCCAGGTTTTCCTACACACGTTACTATCCTGTCACTTGGCACTGCTTTACGCTTATAGCATAAAGTGTCAAAATTCTTACATCAACATACATTAACAAAATAAAGTCCAAAAGATAATCCTGCAAAAAAATAAATTTCAAAAAAGGATCAGGATCCACCAGATAATGCAACTATTGGTTTAAAGATAAATCACGTTTCTTCTGAGCGTACAGCCAGAATAAACTGTAGATTCAGTTTGTGCAAAAAGAAATTACGGCTGTTTGACTTTTATATCTTGATCTAAAACATCACTACGACTTTTTACATAACAAGGTATTGCATCACATTGCTCCCTACCGCCCTCCTTCTTTGTCTCTTCTCACTCTGTGTGATGTTTGTCCACTGTCCTACCTGTGCAGTGTGTGCGTGAAGGTGCAGATTCTGGGCTGAGACTGGTGGTCTGTGTGAGGGTGCGACAGGCCCCCCGGGTCGCTTTTATATGCTGGCGCCCAGAGAGAGGGGATTATAGGCACAGAAACAAACTCGCTGAGCTCACAGCCCCCACAGAATAGAAACACCCCCATCATCAAAGAGAGAGAGAGAGAGAGAGAGACAGCGGGGTAGAAAGAGAGGCAGGGAGACATGGGTTGAAATAGGAGGAGAATATGAGGAAGCAAATGTGACAAATGAATGTTTATTTGGCTGACAAAATCATTTTCTTCATGTCGTAGATCCATAACGTGAGAACATACAGAGCCATAATAATGACTGCTCAGCTGACCAGGTAAAGAGTTACAAAATAATTCACTCCAAGTCCCATCACAGGTGTAATAAAGAGGCACTGGGACAAACAATAACAGGAAAAGCAATAAGCTGTGAGAAGCAATAACCGCGCTATTCCAAATCTTGGTCAGCGAAGAGGTTCCGAGCGTCCACGGCTCTTCATCACTGTGGGAAGATGCTATTAAATCACAGCCCTCTGCATTTCCCTCCTTGCGTGGGTGAAAATACTGCGGTGGGCGTTAGTCCTTAAGGTCCCTTATTCACAAAAATCACGCGGGGGAGAAAGCGAGCCGGTCGAATGTAACTCCGAACCAATCCACACAGACAAGGTCGCTTCAAGGTTTTCCTGCGTGCTGATGACGTCGGGAAGGAAATACGGGATGCGGCTCCTCAGCAGACGAGATCTCGAGGTAAACCGTGTGCACTTTGCTCTCCGTGACGGCGGGACGGCTCGAGTCACACGAAGGACAAGAAGAAGAAGACCAAGGCAGGAAGCGTCCAACAGCGTCCGATACGGAAATGCATAAACGAGTGAAGTGCAAAATAAATTGTTGTATGTTAACTCTTATTGTAAAGAAACATAAAATAGTTTAGCAAAAGATAGCACACATTGTGGCGTGAGAACATATGCAGCCAATAAAAAACATTCATACCAGGTCACAGCTTTAAACATGAGAGGAACATAACGAGACTGTTATGAGCTGATGCTAAAGAAAGACCTACAGCCAAGAATGACCTTGTTTAATGTGCACTAATAAAAAGAGCCTTTTGTTCAATGTAGTCAATGTAGTCTGGCTGATGTACTTCGCATGTGGACAATACATATTTAAATTCAATAAAGGTTCTAAATTCAAAAAAGGTTTATATACAGGCCTGCCTTACATCTTATGTTAGAAACACAACTATTTACCAATTCAGCTGGACAAGAAGGACTGAGCAAAACATCATTTAAAGGGAAAAACCATGAACTTAAGTTGAATGAACGAACACATTTTAACCCCTTTTTGGCAAATATGTATCATATTAAACTATCCAGCCTCTCATTTTTTCATTTCCCCCCACGTGAGACTGCTACTACATCTTTTTTATAGCAAAGCATCTATTTATGATACTAAAAAAACGTAAATATAACGACTGTGTCAGTGTTGCCTCCTCGTATGCTGCGTGTCTTTGTGAAGTAAAAGGGGATATTTTCAGGAAGCTCACAAAGTTTATATTTGAATAGTAGGTTTGGCTAAGAGCAATTTCTCAAAAAGTCAAGTGCAGCATCCTGAGTGTCCTCCAGCTGATAATGATGTACATCCACCTTAGGTTCATGAACTAAACTTCCTCTGTGAGATGACGACCTTATCAGTGCTCAATGCTTCAAATAGTGACAAAACATCGACATGTACCACCTGAAAACGGCAGGTTTGGCAATTTATCTGAGACAGTATACACCACTATATATATATATATTCCTTCATTTACGTTATTAAACATTTGTAACAACAATTGTGTTGTGATGTTTATGGAGACCACGATGTGAGAGTGGATCTTTGTCGGTCTTTGTGTGCGTGACGGTGAACATGTTGAGGAGATTTTGTGTCAGCCACAATGGGCTCGCTAGATTAAATGTCCAGGACAGAGGACCAGAGGAGGGATGTTGCTGTGGCAACTGTGGCCCACTGTGCGAAGAGAATTACTAAAGGGGACGGGCGGGGCGGCTTCATTAAATCAACATCATTGCAAAATTTGCCCTGTTGTGACGGAGGTCCAGCCTCACAAACTGACACTAACCACATAGCCACGGAAGACATTTTCATTTCCAGTGCCTCCGTGTTTGTTTGTTCTAAACATTCCCCTCAGCTATGTTTTAATTGTACGAGGACATCACTATAACTTCTCCGTCAATAATAACCATCATCATTTGTTGAATTCCTCTTTGCCAGTTTCCTCGCCGTTTTGGGAGCCAATGCAGGAGCAGGCGGCTCCAAATCCACATTCTGTGCCTATAGCCGCGGGCCATTGTTGCCCTATACGGGGGCACTGCTGACCTACACGAATACACCAACAACGGAGCCGCATTCCCCAGCCTCACCTCTGTGCAGGCGTTGTGTGCGATCTGCTGAGTGGACAGGCTGCAGAGGGTCACAAAGAGAGAGAGACAGAGAGGGAGAGGGAGAGAGAGAGAGAGAGAGAGGGAGAGAGACCTAGGTGAACTGATCGCGGGCACGCGCCCGCGCGTGAGAGCGCGCAAACTGTTTTCGACGCACAAACGCGAGCGCCGAGGAGCGCACGAGAGGTCAACGCTCACCTGAGTCAAGCTGGTCACGTTTAGGGATACAAACGCCACAGCGCTGTTTACCGCTGCCTTCAAAATAAAAGCATGAATGGTTTTAAAGCAGACTCAGAATCAGGACCCAACCAACGATCTCTTACCAATGTATTTATGTATTGTGCACTTAAGTCTTTTAGGCATATTTATGTGTTTGTACCTTAAATCTGTAAAAATCGGACTCCCATCGTTTGGCTTTAATCCAACGTGTATCATCATCACTTAATATCCCTGCTTGTGAGCAGTCACTTATTCCCCGAATCAGACGGCAACTTAAACATGTATATGAATCATAAATGATTTAGACAACAATATCTATACTTTACATTTTAAAACTCACACTCTACAGGTGTCACGCAGTTAATTATGAAGACCCCCCCAACCGGATGTCTTGTTCTGAATTCCGCGTGTCTTTACAAATTGGTCCAGTTTACACGCACGTATACGCAACACGCTGGGTCGCCGGTATAAAACAGCAGCGCCAGGTCCAGACAAAAGTCCACGTAGAGAGGATTTGAAGTGGGAGTAACGCGAGGAGAGCGGATCCAGGTAAGCGGGTCCCAACTTACACCAGATATTTGGTTGATCGGTCTCCAAGAACCTGTTGGCTGCACCACAAGTTGGATGGAAACTCGTTTTAATTCATAGAGTAGTATACTGTTAGTTAAAGCGAATGAGAAGTATTCAAATTCAAGTGTATATAAGAACAATGCTCTTGTTTTGCCAGTATTAATGCATTACTACGTTACGCTTTCTCAAATCTATGAACTTTGTTTTTCTTTAGAAATGAATCGATTTACTAAAACCCACATGACCTCATCCATGTACTTCCCAAGCATGGATACAGCCCCTTTCTTTAAGGTGAACCCCCACACACGCACACACACACACACACACACACACACACACACACACACACACAGTCCACATGCTCATGCCTCCCACTGTCTTCCCCTCTGTGCAGGTGACTGTGTTTGAGCAGGAGCATTTCCAGGGCAAGTGTCTGGAGTTCACCTCCGAGTGCTGCAACATCCACAACTGTGGCCTGGACAACATCCGCTCCATCCGAGTGGAGAGTGGAGCGTGAGTCACACAGCCTGTACGCCTGCACATCTCTGTGGACAGCTGACTGACTGACTGTGTGCTTGCGTGTGTCGTTTATGTAAGTGTGTGTGTGTGTGTGTGTGTGTGTGTGTGTGTGTGTGTGTGTGTGTGTGTGTGTGTGTGTGTGTGTGTGTGTGTGTGTGTCTGCTAGGCGGCAGATAGAACACATCACACGCAGAAGCGGGAGGTCGTCTTGCTGCCTTTTACAGATGGAACGCTGAGAAAAGACTAATTACCGTCAACCGACGAGTCGACGCGGGGGGGGGGGGTCAGCCTGAAAGCAATTTACCCTGCGAGGGTTTCACTTTGAGGACGATTCACAGCTGGCAATCGAGCCTTAGCGGTGGTAATAGCGATCATTGGTCAGCAGTGGATCGTTTAAGGCCACGCGAGGCCATATTTCTCAGTGTATGCAGAAGAAAATGTCCTGATTTCTCCGGTGAAAGGCACGCTGTATTTTTGGACATTCTTGAACGATCAGAGAACTTCCAATTGGGACTAGAAAAAAAGGAACTATTAGTACACATACGGCCCATGTTACTCTTTCTATGGCACCGTTTTCACACTGGAAATTAACTTCAATCCTTAAGCCTCTGAATACTTCTTTACCAGCAGGGGGGAGAATTAATCCGGTTGACACAACGTCAGACATGATAATTGGAATGTATTTAAACATAATCACCTAATGGAATTAGTTACGGTCAATTTAGAATCTTCAGTGATGATTTCACGATTAATTGCTTCTTGTTACAGAGTATTAATTGCATTTCATCAACTTTACCTTCGTTATCGATATCGATAGAACTGATTAGATTGCAACTGCACTATTTTTAGACTGATAAAAGAAAAATACAATCGCTAAAGGAACATAAAAACAGAAAGTGACCAACTGGGTACTTCTCTCCCCCCGTCCAATGTCACGTGTCTGTCTTTTGTTCAGGCTGTCTTCTTATAATTTCCCCTCCACCCATCTGACAATTTCTCCATGTATCCAGTTGGGTGGGATTCGAGCACCACGACTTCCAGGGCCAGCAGTTCGTCCTGGAGAGGGGCGAGTACCCCAACTGGGAGGCCTACAGTGGCTCCTTGTCCTACCACAACGAGCGCTTCATGTCCCTTCGTCCCATCTACTGCGCTGTGAGTGCCCGCAGAGGGGAGAGAGAGAGAGAGAGAGAGAGAGAGAGAGAGAGAGAGAGAGAGAGAGAGAGAGGGAGCAAAGAAAGTGCAAATGAAAAAGAGAGGGTAGTGAGTGACAGAAGGAAGGTGGGAAGGTGGCCTAACACGACGCACTCTGTCGCCCTCCCGTCCACAGTCTCACCACAGCAGTCGTATGATGATCTTCGAGGGGGAGAACTTCACGGGCCGCAGCACGGAGCTGTGCGATGACTACCCCTCCCTGAGGGCCATGGGCTGGTTCACGCCGGAGGTGGGCTCCATGCACGTGCAGTGTGGCGCGTAAGTCAGAGCTTCATCGCCAACACTGTCTAGTTGTTCATTATCACAACGGGATTTCAGAGGGCTTTAAAGATTCAAAGGAGATGCAGAAAAGGGACATAACGGGAGAAAAGTACATCAGTACTAAGTAATTAGTAGGATCCGTCTTGAAATTTCTGTGGGTGTTCAAAGTTTCATTTTTCATCCCAACATCCTGTCATCACGTTGGCTGATGAATAACAGGAAACTAAGGAAACAGTAATACAAAAATAAAGACCCCAGTACGTATTATTCGTTACAAAAAAATGTTTTACTCAGTGCATGCCTAGAAATAGTTTGATATCTGAATATAATCCACACATTCAACCTGGAGAAATCTTTATGTAATGAGGAAAGAAATGTAATTCCGGTCTTCTTACTTCTTACCCACCTCCTCCTTCAGCTTTGTGTGCTATGAGTACCCGGGCTACAGAGGCCAGCAGTACATCATGGAGTGCCAGAGGCACAGCGGAGACTACCAGCACTGGAGGAACTGGGGCTCCCACTGCCAGACTCCAAAGATCCAGTCCATCAGACGCATCAGGCACTGAGAAGCAACCGATGGGAACTGGCAACAGTAACGGCTCGGGCTAAAACCTGGTCGCTGCGCTTTAGGGGCCTGACTGTTGACGGCTGAACTCGGGGTTCGGTTCGGAGTTTAAGGCTTCATCGGTCAGGACCGCAACTGCAACACAAACTGTTGGTGACGTAGCAGCTGCCTCTTTATCCCGGCTCATAAACACTCTTGTGTTAAGACTCATTTTGCTTAAAGGCAAATGAAATAAAGCACAGATTGAAAACCTGAGAAGTCCTTTCGGTTATTTCTGTGTGAGTGCATGTGTGCAGAAAGAATGCCAGTACTATGTTTAAATTCAAAATACACCCAATACACCACCAAGGTGTATCCAGTTCAACCATACACTAAAACATGATGGGTTAGGACAATTAAACGTGTCTGTAATAACCCAATGTTTAAGGTTATTACAGCATTCATTCAAAACTGCAAACTGAAGTTTTATAAAATGTATTTCTGAGGATCGTTTTTTTTAACAGAATAAATTACTTTTAGTTTGAAATGAGTTCTTTCAAGATACTCTCAGTAATTGGATTAGTAATAACATAAGTAAAAGGAACTCCTTTATTCACTAAATTGCTCTGTATTTATACATATGTGGGTGTGTAGATGTGTCACATTATTAACAGCAACGAAATTGAAATGAAACTAATTAAGTCTAGCTATTCTTTGTTTTGGCCTTACTTTAAAGTTTCCATGGCGATGAGCGTTAAGTAGACGTCACACTGCCCACCAGCTGTTAACTTCAACACCATCTTTAGTTGAATGTACAGGTGTAATCAAGAGAAGCACAACATATTTTCAGGTTCCACACTGTTTAAGTCAGTAAAATGACATTACATAAATGAACAGGTAACAATGCAACATCAGGGAAATCAGGAAACCTGCACACATAAAATACAAATCAAGCAGCATTGACATTGGTTGATTGAAAAGTCAGGTGGGATTCCACCCAGAGCAAGTTGAAATAGTTGTTGGAAGTGGCAAAGACTACTTATGCGTCTCACGTCCAGCAGGCTAAATATGACTCCATCCAAACGCACCTCACGCTCAGGACACGCTAAGAAAATCAATACCTCATTCCCTTTTCTGTTGCTTTGAGGTTTCTTTTCAGTGAAGTCCAATTAAAATGAAACTCAATTGTGTTTGAAGAGAAAGTTTTTTTCTTGATAAAGCCGCTGCTGTGACCTCTATGATTAGAACAGCTGCCACAACAAAAGTGTTGCAGTTATTTTATTTTTTCAATCCAGTGAGCAGTTTATCCCTTTTAAAATGGATATACCTATTGTTGAATATAAATATAGCACTTACAAATTGTGGACCGTATCTTCTGAATCACTGTTGTAATTATAGTGGAATGGATAATTACTCATAACTCATTTATCAACGCTTGTGCCAGAAAAGAAATCCTTTAATCAGTCCAAAAACTTCCCTCGTTCATTGTCCTTTGTCTCCTCTCTCATCCTCCCTCCCGCTCTTCCCTCACTCCGTCCTTCACATGGGCGTCCTCCCGTCTGTGGCCCTCGGCCCCTCTCCTCCTGGCTTCGGGTGAGTCAACTCCCTGGACCCCATCGTCTTGGCCTTCTTCCCTCCTGTCCTCTGCTCCCATCTCCTCCGCCACATGCTCTTCGTCCTCCTCCTCCTCCTCCTCTTTGTCATCATCCTCACTTCTCTCAGAGTCCGACTCATCTGAGTTGTCCTCCTCAAGGTAGCGGTAACCTTTAACCTGCACACATAAAATACTAATTAGACTGAGGTTTTTTGAAGGTTTTTTTCACTTTTAGTCACCAGTAAGACATTTAACAATGAGCTGTGGTTGTAATAAGATTCATTCCAAAATCAAAAAGAAACAGCACGTAGAATACACACTTTCAAGGCCAAACGAAACATATACAAGCATATTGAGGCCTGCGATCATGATGCTTCCTCCTCCTATAAGGTCCTCCTTTCATGATGCTTGTACTGCTCCGCTGTTGATAAACTGAATGTTGCTTTTGGATGCGATTTTAATATTGTGTGCACCTCAATTATATCAATTAGAGTAGGAAAACATGTATAACAGAATACAGTTTAACAGACTAGCGCCTCCAAAAAGGATGATACAGTTGTATGAACACATCTTTCAAAAGTTTCAACATAAACATTTAACGTTCCTGAAGTATTTACTGTAGGGCCGTTGCATTAGACTGTCAAACGACTGTAAAACACAGTAGCCTTTAAAAGGTGTATAATGCAACACATAAAACTTAGTTCTGCTTGTTATTATCATAACAAGTGGCAAGTTGACAGTTATAGAAACTGTAACTTGACTTTTTCCCACATGCAAAATATATTTGACAGCCTTATCCGTTATTAATGCAGCTATAAATAAGCACATGTTATTTTATTACTTTCATCTATTTTCAGTGTACGTAGGTTTTATATTTCAACATCCAATTTGTATTGCATATTTGACCGTGATTGGCTCTAAACTATATGTGATGTAAGAAAACCATGATTAGACGTCTTAAATCAAGATCCAAGGTGAGCAAACAGAAACTTTCTCCCCTCAGCAAATTAATATAAAACATTCAAATGATGTAAACAGAAGAAAAAAAGATGACACTTATAAGCTTTGATTGAAATATAAAGGCTACAGAAAGTTGAAATAAGATATATGATAAAAAACATTTCCGAACGGACACAGAACATTGTGATTCTGGACGTTACATCACATTACTAGTATTCTGCTGTACGTCTCCTGGGCCTGTGACCGCTGCCCTTTAACTGATACTATGAATCAGGCGTCATGAGCTCACCTTGTGCCGCGGCCGCGGGATGCGAGGCAGCCTGTAAGGCACTTTACGGGCGAGCCGACGCTCCATCACCCAATAACAGCAGCAGGCCACCAATAAAGTGGCCAACAGGATGGAGAGTTTCGCCTGAGGAGGAGTGACAGTAGTAATAAGAGAATAAAGTTATAAGTAGGAACATTTCCTTTAAAAATGTAAATCCAAACGAACAGTCTTTTCTTCGAGGTATTTTTTTGTTTTTTTACCCGAGACACAGACACACTTTCAAAGTTTTCTGAACCCACACACAGCGTACCCTCATTGGCAGGTGGGACCACAGGTAGACGATGAAGATGGCGATGGCCTGCCACCAGTGATAGATGGTGAAGACAAAGTCCAGCCGCTCTTTCTCCTCAGCGTAGAGCATACCGAGCAGAGCTGACACACACACACACACACACACACACACACACACAAAACACACACACACACACACACACACACACACACACACACACACAGAGAGGAGACACGTGTCATGTAGGAACTGAGGAGTCGCATCTACAGACGCCTCGACCGCGGCCGCCACTCACTGCTGACGCCCGTCTTGTTCAGCGCTGTGCCGAGTCCCCACAGCACAGAGATCACCAGCAGGGCGCCCAGATACTCTGGGCTCTTAGGAGGTGGAGAGAACACCAGGAGCACCACCAGCAGCACCGCGTGCACAGCCGCGCCGCCCATCAGACACACCCAGCGCGGGAGGCGCAGCAGGCAGAGGGAGAGGGAGGAGAAGACGGAGCAGGAGAGGCCATAGACCATGATGAGGAGCCACAGCTTCCTCAGGCCCAAAACGCAGACGCCATAGGACTGCGAAAGGGGGAAAGAAAGAAAGGAGATGAAATACGTATATGTTCTACTCTTCCTGATTGGTAAGTGACAGCCGCGGTCCTCTACCAGGGAAAATCCTGTGACAGCAAACAACATTTCAAAGCCGCTGTAGATGAAGAAGGGGCAGAGCAGTCGCAGGCGGTAATCTCGAAGGTGTTTGAAAGGCAGCTGGAAGATGTTTCCCCAGCCAATACTGCGCAGGTCGATTTCCTCCGTCGGGCGGTAGGCGGCTCCACAGAGCGCAAGGAACTGTGGGCAACAGCGAAAAGACGTCGTTTAGTTTTGATTGATTAGGAATGATGCATGATGCATGCTTTGCTTTCCAGACGAGATGAACTCCAATAAATAGAGCAATAAATATATTGGTCAATCTAAAAGGCAACTTTACGGTACGACAACCCATTCCTCACACCGGTCGTCTAAAGTACTACGAGGGCCGAATCCCGCCGGGCCGTTTGGAACTTACGATGACCATGGCGAGGAAGGCGAAGCCCATGAGGACACTCTCCACGTGGATGAGCAGCATGGAGCGAGGCAGGTTCTTCAGCACAGTGGTGTTGAAGCCGGGGATCACCCCACTAATGTTTGCTCCTGTCAGGGGAAGAGAACGGATCAACCACAAGGACGCGACGCGGCGGTACCAGAAGGCAATACACCGCCACATGTCATTTCTGCTTTAGAAAGCGTGCAAGCAGTTTCAGACACTCAACGTCTGTCCAAAGACCCGCTGGCAATAGGAACATCTGTACAGTGGTCTCTCCCCCTATTGGTGTTTACAATAAAAAAGGAAGTGACTTGGCCAGAGGTGAGACAGTTTAGTTTAGCAGAAGTGTTCCTTTCAGCTTTGTGAGGCCCTCTCGAGTTTCCTTCAGCATTTCGTATCTTTGATGAAACTTACGGTGCATGCTAGCCTAACACATGGCCTGCGAGAGGGTGAACACTGAAGTTTGTGCTCTCTTCTCTAAAGAGTAATACAACGCTACATTTTATCATACATTAAGAAATAAAAAAGTTAAACATGTAAAGCGACATTAGTTGATGTTTGGTTACTTGAGCAGAATAAGATCAATTATCGCCTTTAGAGGCGGTTGGCTCTGTTTCAGTTCCCACATCGCCTGAACGAACTCCCCAAGCAAACTGTTGAACATCAGAGTCCATTTCAGCTTTCTAAGGGGCTTCATCAATGGGCGAAAAATGCCTCTGCGTGCAATTGGATGGACTAGAGCAAAGAAACACGTGACCTGGCGCTGAACAGCGAAGAGCTGTAAGCACACTACAGCAGGCAGAGATGAGTCGTGATGGTGTGGCCTCAATGTGTCTGGGAACGAGTGTTGCTATTTTTGCCGAAAGGATTTGAAGATAAAATGTGTTTTTACTCACTCAACTAAAATGCAAAACGAGACAACTTGTAAACCAAATAATATACATAAGCTCACAGACCAGCCTGGTTCCCACAGCAAGTTTTCACAAACTCCAAAGAAACAAACATCTGATTCCAGATGACCACAACGTTCACCAGCTAGTGATCCAGGCTGAAGCTAGAACATTCAGAATAATGAGTGAAAAGAAACTGCACATGTACCTTCTTTCGGAGAGTTAGATAAGAGAATCAACACTATTCTCGGGTTTGTACGGTAAATGCGAAGCTGGACACCGTGTCGGCGAGCGGATCTTTGCCTGTCGACTAGAGGTACAATAGAGACGCTGGAAGGTGGATTTTTTTTTTCTTCTTCTTATACCTCCGGAAAGTGGTTTAGAAACCAGCTAAGAGTGGAATCCATCTCATCTAACTCTATAAGAAAGTATCTAAGCATAATATCTGTAACTCTTGCTAAGTTTGTGACATTGGACAAAATAATTGAATCCTTATAAATGGTCGTCTCGCAGTCATTTGTATGTAATGGTTCACTGGTGGAGGTGAAGTGACATGTGTCGTTACCGCAGGAGTGGACATTATAGAGAACGTGCTCGTCATCGTGCAGGGTGCCGTTGAGGACGAAGCGCATGGGGAACTGCGCGAAGACAAAACTCAGCTGGCGAGGAAAAGACAGAAGACAGGGATCGTCCTCATTATTGTCGTGCAAACTCATTACCCGACGTCAAACGCGGCACGAAGACACGAAATGATTCGAGACTCACGTGGAAGACGATGTAGAAGACCGACTGGAAGACGATGATGTATTTGTGGCACGCTCCCTTGGGGAGCTTCTTCTGCTCCTGCACGTGGTCTTCCTTGTAGTTGACGTACTCGTAGTACTGCTGCGCCATCCTGCATGTGTTTGAGTGAGAGAACAAGTTCACTGTGCGTTCATAAAAGCCGACGCACGGGACCACGAGGGGTTGGTTTAAAGTCCGGATGGATGGGGAGAGATTCAGCCGTGCTTTCACTATAAGCACACGGAAATCACGTGACCTCTCTTCTGCGTTTATACTTATGCGATCCCACCCAAGCTCCAATGTTTGCAATCGCTCCTATACTTAAAAACATAAAGGAAAATAAACAGTTTGTCTTGAAGGAATTTTGTTTGTATCAGAAATAAAACAAAACTGGGTTAACTGTTGATTTTAGCATTGCATAGATTGGCCGACTAACAAAGTATGTTTTGAGACAACAATCTCTCATTTGTCATGACGATTTTAAAATACTACTCAAGAATTTGAGAAAAAAAGTATTTTTAGTTTGAAACAAATATCTCAAAATGAAATTGCTGATAATTGGTGGGGATAAGAGTACCCAAATAATCATTTTTGTAAGATCTGTTAGATGGTCCCCATCGTCTGTTTTAAAGCATTGATAGTTGTTAGACATGGTCAATATCAATGGTTATGTTTAGATTGCGGGTCAATAAGTAATCTTTAGCCGTTATAAGATGAGAAACCATCGAGAAGGGGAAGTTGTAATTCAGGTAATGTTGTTGCGGTGACGGTAGGAGCGGCGATCTGGGACTGGTTCCCCTTCAGTGAGCTCCGTGTTCTCTGACGTGTTGCGGTTCAAGCTTCCGCCTCTCAGGAAACGTCTTTACGCAGGCAGCCTGTCACGGCCCGTCTCTCACCTTGTGATATAATTCCCCAGCGAGGCCCAGAGCGGCACAATGGCCACGCCGATGGCCACGGCGGATGGAACCAAGGTGTAGTACCGCTCCCAGTAATTGGTCGAGACGAAGAGCGCGTAGATTCCTGAAGCCAGGAACATCATCCACTTTGTGCCTAAAAACCTTCACAGAGCGATAGTAGCAAATGTAGTCGTCGTTATCATAGAGTACGCGCAGGCAGAGCAAGGACACGCGTGTGCGCGTGCGTGTGTGTACCTAATAAGTACAGGGGTGTACAGCAGGCCCATGATGGGAGTTACATTGATGCCCATCAGCATCTTGCGATCGATGTCCTCCAGCCCGAGGTTGCTGTACTTCACCTCGCGGTAGGTCATGTCATAATGGAGGATCAGCTGCATCTGCAGTAGGCCTTTGACGTAGCATGCGCACGGACAAAAGTAGATTTAAAGAGAACATAGTCTTCAGATAGTCTTTCTGTGTCCATTTTAGTGTGTTTGCTACAATCAGACTCACCCATGTACACACTGTACACAATCATGGCTCCAACACTGGCTGCGAGCACATTCTTGATGACACCGAGCCTCTTCCTCCTGTAGTACTTCCTCTCCTCCTCATCCTCGTTGTACTCTGCCTGCGGGCCGAGGAACTCCTCCATCTGAGGAAAGAAAAGGAATACACATTTCTGCAGTTGTTTCAATAGAAAATGTTATCGTACTGAAAAAAGAAGAAGTGAGTCTCTTTCAATGGAAACCCGAGGATCACAGAGACGGGACTACACTTATAAGGAGACTGTGGGGAGTTCACCTGGCCTTGCAGTTTGTCGTCTTGTCCCACGTTCAGCAGTTCATTTATGACGCCTTTGGGAGGTTCTACAGGCTGATCAGCGTCCCTGACCAACGCGTCTTGATCTTCTGCATCCATCTAGTGACAAAACGGAGTAGCACACGGGTTTATGAGCCCACTGACAAAACAACGTTGTAACATTATTTCTGTAAAGGCTCAAATATCTTAAAAACAAAAAATGTTTTCAGTTGAGACAAAGTTGAGACAAAATCTCAGGCTGGATAAATCTAAACTATCAACATAATTAAATTCGGGAACCTTTAATTTTTCTTATTTTTATTTTGGGTAATCTTTTATATAGATTAGGGGGGGGGCTGGAGTCCATCCCAGCCAACTTCGGGCGATAGACAGGGTACATCCAGGGCCACACAGAGACAGACAATCATTCACACTCACATTCACACATCTACGGGCAATTTAAAGTCCCCAATTAACCTGATGCCCAGAGCATGTCTTTGGACTGTGGGAGGAAGCCGGGGAACCCGGAGAGAACCCACGCAGACACGGGGAGAACATGCAGACTCCACACAGAAAGGCCACTGGGCGGAATCGAACCCAGGACCTTCTTGCTGTGAGGCAACAGTGCTAACCACCACGCCACCGTGCCGCTCTTTTATATATATATATATATATATATATATATATATATATATTTTTTTTTTACATAAATATATGTAAAATAACAATGAATTAACCTTCCATGTCATCACTGAGAAGTCAGATTTACTTCCCTTTTCTCACTACGACCGTACAAACTTTGCTAGCGTCTAAAACTCTACCCTCTACCACCATTCACCCCATTGTCAAACTACGACCGTACAAACTTTGCTAGCGTCTACAACTCTACCCTCTACCACCATCCACCCCATTGTCCTTTGAATTCCATGCTGTAACAATCACTCACCCGGTACAATTAACCATCATTGTCCTCTACTGTCCGCCAGGCTCCTTAGGTCATTTCTTGGAAGAACTGGACATTCTCCTGTCTAATTTCCCCGAAAATGGACCTCCGCTCATCCTCCTGGGTGACTTCAACATCCAGACAGAGAAGTCACCTGACCTCTTACACCTACTTTCTTCCTTCGCTCTGTCACTCAGTCCCTCTCCTCCTACTCACAAAGCCGGCAATCACCTTGACTACATCTTTACTAGAAACTGCTCTACCACTAACCTCTCTGTAACTCCACTTCATGTGTCTGATCACTTCTTGATCTCTTACTCCCTTCCACTCTCTATAACTAACAAACCTCCCTCATTGACTAACTCTATACCGGCTCGTCGCAATATTCGCTCCCTCTCTCCCTCCTCGCTGGCATCCTCTGTTCTATCAGCTCTCCCTTCAACTGATTCCTTCTCACTCTTGCATCCAAACGCTGCTGCAGAGTCTCTCCTCTCAACTCTTTCCTCCTCTCTAGACTCTCTCTGCCCTCTTACGACACGACGGACTGGCAAATCCCCTCCGGCTCCGTGGCTGTCTCAACCGGTCCGTGCCATGAGAGCCACCATGAGAGCCACCATGCGAGCGTCGGAAAGGAAATGGCGTAAATATAAACGACCTGAGGACCTGCTCGAATTTCAATCTCTCCTCTCCTCGATATATGCTTCCATCTCAGCTGCCAAAAGCTCTTTCTACCAATCCAAAATCGAATCCTCATTCTCTACCCCCCTATGCTTCTCGATCTTCTCCAATCTCCTCGAACCCCCCTACGGCCCACCTCCTCCCCCCTCCACCCTCTCCGGGAGACTTTGT